GTAGAGACGGGGTTTCACCATGTTGACCAGGATGGTCTCGATCTCTTGACCTCGTGATCCACCCGCCTCGGCCTCCCAAAGTGCTGGGATTACAGGCGTGAGCCACCGCGCCCGGCCCAGACTTATCTTTAATTCTACTAAAAGGCGTTATACTCATAGCAACAGCACTAATACTTCCGTAAAATTCCGAGCTGAATTCAAACATGATACGCTTGAAGTGAAACTTCCCAAGAGCCTGAGCATAAACAGGTGAAGTGGATGACATCAAGACACTCGGTCTGGGCCGGGAAGCCGAGGAGGTCAGGTGACTTGGCCCCTACTGCTTTTCTACTCTTTGTGAGAGTATACGAATATCTTTCCCTTTTGCTTAAAGAAAGAATAAAGTGACGAGGAAAGAATAACATAAAAGATAAATAATAATTCCTAGGAAAGGAACACTGTAGCTTCTGAAATACCACGACGCCAGGCAGCTCAAAGTACGTGGACTGAAGCAGGAACCTTCGCCTTCCGTTAACTCCTCCACTATTGCTTCTGCACTTGCGCCCTCCCACCTCTCGCGTCCCGCCTCTTTCCCACAATACTCCTCGTCCTGGGGGACGCAGCCGCGGAAAGAGCCATAGAGAAAAAGCCTATTGGTTGGTGGTGCAGCCAATGAGCTGGCCTGTTACTAGCCTGCGGGGTCCTGTGGTGTAGGGGAAGCGCTTTAGGCCTGGAAGCCCTGCGCGTCCGTTCGGGTTTAGCACGATGAGCTCCATCGGCACTGGGGTGAGTTTGCTGTCTCTCTGTGTGATAGTCTAACCTAAGGTTTGGGTTTGAAGGGAACTCCATCAGACCACATGGGGTGCCCGGACTCGGGGTGCTCTGGGGCCGCCTTCGGCTGGATGGGCCACTTGCAGCTGTTTGGAGACCGGTCATCTTTATCCCCTCTGTGCTAGGCCCGCGTCTCAGGTGACTGTGACTCCTGAAGCTTTTTAGCTCAGGTGTAGCCAGCTTGACGTGCCCGCAGTGAGGTTTGGAGCAGCTTTGGATTGCTGAGTCACTTTCTTCAGCCGCTTAGGGAAACCGAAAGTGGAAACTCGTGAGGCTTGAAATAGTGCATTCTCTTGAGCGAGCCACCGAGGCAGTGCGGCTTGGGATTCCACGGTCTGGAGACCGTGCTTTCTGTGGACTGCGTTTGCAGTTCCCAGGGTGCTGCTGATTCACGGGCCCTCTCTTTCTTTTAAGTGTACTGATCATCGACCGCTCAGCCTAAGAGTCACTGGAAACCCTGTCGGAACAGAATTAAAATGATCTGGAAAGCTAAAATCTCATGAATCCTTCAGTATTTCCTTTGTCCTTGTTTTTCCTACAAAAATTACCTAATAGCGCTTTTAGGCATTTATTCCGTAAATGTTTAAATGGTCACATAGAAACTTAACCGCTTCAGACTTTTGATAGACTGTTGAGGATTTTGCAGTGAGACCTGTTAACTTGTTTGGCTTTCCTTTGTTAAACGTATAGCCTATGTGCAGTCAGTTTACTCCTTTTATGTATTTCTCTACATAAAAAAATACAGTTTCTAAAAGATTTATTGGTCATTTGCACTAGAGTTATTGAATAATGAGTTTCTCAGTTCATCAATTTCTACTTCTTAACAAGATTCTCATGCTCAGCCTTAAATTCAAGTACTGGTGTCTAAATTTGATAATAGGCAACTTAATGTCTGGAGTGGTTAAATCCATTCGGTTATGAATGCTAAGTTCTGCTATACTTTTCTTGGATAAGTGCCCAGTAATCTTGTAGCTAATTGACTTTGCAACTATATTAATAATACTTTCAATTAGTAGTATTTCATTCTACAAACTTTTTTTTTTTTTTTTGAGACAGTCTCACTCTGTTGCCAGGCTGGAGTGCAGTGGTGCAATCTCGGCTCACTGCAACCTCCACCTCCCTGGTTCAAGTGCTTCTCCTGCCTCAGCTTCCCAGGTAGCTGGGACTACAGGCGTGCGCTACCATGCCGAGCTAATTTTTGTATTTTTAGTAGAGACTGGGTTTCACCATGTTGGCCAGGATGGTCTTGATTTCTTGTCCTTGTGATCTGCCCGTCTCAGCTTCCTAAAGTGCTGGGATTGCAGGCGTGAACCACCGTGCCCAGCACTTCTACAAACCTTTTAAAAAATACTTGATAATGTAACCATGTGGGATAATTTATTAACAATGGTAGAGTTAACGATCTGGGTTTCAGAGATCAGGAAACAGACTCAGAAAGTGCCACTGTTGAAGGCTTATCTTCTGTCTTCACTTCTTCCAAGAACTCCAGATATGAATATTTGTTTATCTGCTTGATATATCTGTCCACTTGATTGTTTAATAGTCATTTCATACTGAATGTCAAAGAGCTCTGGGTTTTCTCCTCACCTTGCCATTTTGAATCTACTACAGTCTTGAGCTCAGTGAATGGTCATATGAAAAAAATCTGTGATTCATCTTTAATTCCTTTTTTTTAACTGTACTCCTGGAGCCAACCCTTTAGCAAGTTTATTTTATTTATTATTATTATTATTATTTGAAACAGAGTCTCGCTCTGTCGCCAGGCTAGAGTGTAGTGGCACGATCTTGACCTACTGCAACCTCCACACCCTGGTTCAAACAATTCTCCTGCCTCAGCCTCCCGAATAGCTGGGATTACAGGCGCGCGCCACCATGCCTGGCTAATTTTTGTATTTTTAGCAGAGACAGGGTTTCACCATGTACGCAAGGATGGTCTCGATCTCTTGACCTTGTGAGCCACCTGCCTTGGCCTCGCAAAGTGCTGGGATTACAGGTGTGAACCACCGCGCCTGACTTAGCAAGTTCATTTTTGTTTATTTAATTTTTTTACTATACCCTCAAAAGGTATTCCTTTCCACTTCTTCTCTTATGTAAGCTACTACCACTGTCTTTGGAACACCTTATCTTTACTTCTGTTGTTCTGTCTACAGTTCATTTTCCACGTAAAACCAGAATAAGGTTTTGAAAAATGTAGATCATACCACCCCACTGCTTAAATTCCTCATTGCATTTAGAATAAAATACAAAGTCCTTATTCCATCCTAGAAGACCCATCATAATTTGGCCCTCAACTACCTCACTAACACAGTCTGCTCTTTTTTTCTGCTGCTTAGAGTGCTCGGGACACATTGAGCTTACTTCTGTTCCTTGACTGTGCTAGCCTTATTTCAACCCTAAGATCTTTGTGCCAAATGCCAAGAAGGCTTTTCCATCATATCTTAAATGGCTAGGTCCTTGTCATTTAGGTTTGACTCATCCTAAATATAACTGCCCCAGAAGGCCTTCCCTGATGATGTAGTCAGTAGTAGTTTCTTCTATCGCTTTACTCTTTTATTTTCATCTTAGTGCCTTTTCTGATTTGCTGCTGTATCTCTAGCACCTGGATTCATGTCTGATTTGAAATTGAAGGACTTGGTGAATGAGTGTTCATCTTTGTATTCCATATGGTGACCAACATAATAGATGCTCACTAAGTGTTTGATGAATGTTGAACGATTTGAAGTCTTTTAGTTTGTTAATGGCAGAGTTATGATTACAAATTTAAATGTTCTAACTCCAGTGCTGGTTCTAAATATTAATCTTTTTCAAAAATGTGTTTTGGTTTTGTGTGTGTGTGTGTTTCTTGAGATGGAGTTTTGCTCTTGTCGCCCAGGCTGGAGTGCAATGACGTGATCTCAGCTCACCACAACCTCTGCCTTCTGGGTTCAGGCGATTCTCCTGCCTCAGCCTCCAGAGTAGCTGGGATTACAGGCATGTACCACCATGCCCAGCTAATTTTGTATTTTTAGTAGAGGTGGGGTTTCTCCATGTTGGTCAGACTGGTCTTGAAATCCTGACCTCAGGTGATCCACCTGCCTCGGCCTCCCAAGGTGCTGGGATTACAGGCGTGAACCACCACGCCCAGCCTCAAAAATGAGTTTTGTGGGCTGTGTGAAAACTGTTCTGACTTCCCCTGGGACTTGTATCCATTACACTTTAATAGCTGAAATCTAAGGTATATATAGCTTTATCTTAGCTACTGTTGCTGCTCTGACAGGTTTCCCTTCCTCTCTTGAAAGCAAGGTCTTTGTTGAGATACCACATGTTCCTGATGTTTAGGCCATTTTGAGGGGAAGAAATTGTGTGGTCATTACTACCAAAGATAGAAGCTTACTCTTGCCCTTTTCTCCTTAGTATGACCTGTCAGCCTCTACATTCTCTCCTGACGGAAGAGTTTTTCAAGTTGAATATGCTATGAAGGCTGTGGAAAATAGTAGGTAAGAAACATTGTTTTAACCAGGTATTACATGTCTCCTTTTATATATTTTTGGTAATGAGACTTTGTTATGTTACTTGGGTACAAATTAGTATAGGTCCCCAAATCTCAATTTATTCATTTCCAGATCTCTTTCTAGGCCAGATGTTTTCTATGAGCCCCAGTCCTATATTTCCTGTTGATTCCAGGATTATCTACTTAGATTATCCATGTCTCAGAGTCTATAAAAATCACATTGATTATCATCTTTTTGTTTTCCATTTTCAAATTCTTGATTTGTATCATAGGTTTCCTTGGTCATTAGGTTTGTGACCTTATTATTTTTTCTCATTTACCTTGTGTTTTAAATGCCCAATGCAATTAGTCACATGTTCGATTGAGCAAAGATTTTTTTCTATCTCTGTGTCTCTCTTTTTTTGAGACTTGAGTCTCAGTCTGTCATCTAGGCTAGAGTGCAGTGGCATGATCTTGGCTCACTGCAACCTCTGCCTCCTGGGTTCAAGTAATTCTCTTGCCCCAGCCTCCCCAGTAGCTGGGATTACGGGCATGCACCATCATACCCAGCTAATTTTTGCATTTTTAGTAGAGACAGGGTTTCACCATGTTGGCCAGGCTGGTCTCAAACTCCTGGCCTCAAGTGATCCGGTTGCCTTGGCCTCCCAAAAAGCTGGGATTACAAGTGTGAGCCACTGTGGCTAGCCTAAATATGATTTTTAAAGTCACATTTATGCAAAGATGAGGAAATAGTTTAAAAAAATTGAAGCCTTAAAAATGAATGTGGGTTTTTTTTTTTTTTTTTTAGACAGAGTTTCTTTTTTGTTGCCCAGGCTGCAGTGCAATGGTGCGATCTCAGCTCACTGCAGACTCTGCCTCCCGGGTTCAAGCGAATCTCCTGCCTTAGACTTCTGAGTAGCTGGAATTATAGGCATGTACCACCATGCCTGGCTAATTTTGTATTTTTAGTAGAGACGGGGTTTCTCCATGTTGGTCAGGCTGGTCTCGAACTTACAACCTCAGATGATCCACCTGCCTCAGCCTCCCAAAGTATACTTATATATTAGTATATTTTTAGTCAAATGATGTGCTAGATTCTGGAGGGAGGGTCACATGATATTTATATGGATTTAATGTATTTATTACACTTTAGTGTGTTTTCTCTTTCTGGTTTTCAAATGTTTTAAGGTATTTGGCATGCCTTAAATGTTACCTGTTTTGTTTTTTTGTTAAATTTAAGTTGATGAAGTTTCTTTTCACGTAAAAAACTGATTTTCTTCTCCTTGTTTCAGTACAGCTATTGGAATCAGATGTAAAGATGGTGTTGTCTTTGGGGTAGAAAAATTAGTCCTTTCTAAACTTTATGAAGAAGGTTCCAACAAACGACTTTTTAATGTTGATCGGCATGTTGGAATGGTAAGGTTGTGTTTTAAAATGTTCCTTTTTGTCTTGTCCAATTTCTTTTGAAGTAACTGACTGGAATAGATCACTCTGCAGTCTTAAAAGTAATCAGAGTGAGTTACTGCATTTGTCTAGTTCACTGTCCAGTAGAAAGGCAGCATTCTCACACCCTTATTGGTGATAGGGGAAAAACCAAGTTTCTGAAAGAAGAGCAGGAGAGGGAGAAGGGTGGAGGGGAGTATGTGTAGAAATGAGATCTTGACAGCACAGATCACTAATGAAGGTATATACTTGAGAGGCAAAGAATCTTTAGCTTTTTGTGTATCTTGTGGGGATCACTGTCACAGTAAAGATGGCATCAGATATACCTTTATATAAGGTGAAACATCAGGAGAGGATGTTTAATGAAAAGTGTACACATCCATAATAGTTTCATAAGGCATCACTGAAATTACATTATTCATGCAGTTGGTATCTAAGTTGTGAGTGACTAAATTGCAAGCCAGGCCATAAATACACTACTGGTATATACCAAAGTTACCCTACATAGATGGCAGACTTGGCTTAATAAGAACCACTGAAAAAAAGGAACCACAGAAAAAAAGGAATGAAATGATTCTAACTCTGCCATGTGAAAAGAAAGGAAGAAAAGAGATTATGTTAGGTTCTATGCTGGGAGCTGTTTACATAAATTACCTTGTTTAATCTTGACAACCCAGTGAAGGTTTTATTAATATCATTTTCTTTTTTTTTTCCTGTTTTTTTGTTTGAAACAGAGCCTCACACTGTTGCCCAGGGTGAAGTGCAGTGGTGCTATCTCAGCTCACTGCAACCTTGCCTTCTGTTGTCCCAGCAACTTGGGAACAACTGTTGTCCCAGCAATCAAGTAATTCTCTTGTTTCAGCCTCCCAAGTTGCTGGGACTGCAGGTGACTGCCACCATGCCCAGCTAAGTTTTATAATTTTAGTAGAGATGGGGTTTCACCATGTTGGCCAGGCTGGTCTTGAACTCTTGACCTCAAGTAATTCCGTCCACCTCAGCCTTCCAGAGTGCTGGGATTACAGATGTGAACCACCATACCCAGCCTGATGCCATTTTCACAGGTGAAAAAATAGATGCACAGCTAGTAAAGAAAAGCTGGGATTCAAACTTTGGTCTGCATGTTATTCCAGAGTGCTTTCTAAGTGAAAAGACACCTTATATGACCCACATCGTTCAGCTGATAGCTTTCGTATGTCTAAATGAGATGTAACGTTACAAACACAAAAGGTACCAGTAGAGTATAACCAGCAAACCATGAAGCTATGCTTTTTTCTTTCAAAGATTACTTTATCTCAACAGTATTTTTCTCCTTAATAGATTTATTTATTTTGCTGCAAATGACAGGATTTTATTTTTTTGAGACAGAGTCTCGCTCGGTCATCCAGGAAGGAGTGCAATGGTGCTATCTCAGCTCACTGCAACCTCTGCCTCCCGGGTTCAAGCAATTCTCCTGCCTTAGCTTCTCAAGTAGCTGGGATTACAGGCATATGCCACCACACCCAGCTAATTGTTGTATTTTTAGTAGAGATGGGGTTTCACCATGTTAGTCAGGCTGGTCTCAAACTCTTAAGTGATCCACCCACCTTGGCCTCCCAAACTGTTGGGATTACAGGTGTGAGCCACCGTGCCCAGCCTAGGATTTTATTCTTTTTAAAGGATGAATAGTATTCCATTGTGTATATATACATTTTCTTTTTTCTTGTACAGAATTTTTTCGTCACCCAGGTACTAAGCCTAGGACCCAGCAGTTATTTTTTCTGATCTTCTTCCTCCTCCCACCCTCCACCCTCAAGTAGGCCCCAGTGTCTGTTGTTCCTATCTTTGTATCCATGAATTCTCATCATTTAGCTTCCACTTACAAGAAAGAACATGTAGTTTTTGGTTTTCTGTTTTTTTGTTAGTTTGCTAAGGGTAATGCTGAACAGATTATTGCCAGTGAAACCGATATGTTTTGATGAGACTTGCTAGATTGTAACCTACCTAGTAGGAGGTGATCTTGTATTCTTTTATTTAATAGAAAAAGTTTAAGTATATTTTGAAAGAAATTATGCATATATATACATACACACATAGGTCTTGCTCTGTTGCTCAGGCATGAGTGCAGTGGCATGATGATAGCTCATTAAAGCCTTGCAGTCCTGGCCGAAAGTGATTCTCCTGCCTCTCAGCCTCCCAAGTAGCTGTGATTACAAAAGTGTGCCACCACACCTGGCTTTTTTTTTTTTTTTTTTTTAAAGAGATAATATCTTGCGGTGTTTCTCAGGCTGGTCTTGAACTCCTGGGCTCAAACAGTCCTCTCACCTCAGCCTCCTGAGTTGCTGAGATTACAGGTATGAGCCAATGTCCCTGGCCAACATCAGACATTGAAGAAGGTTGGAGAAAATTAAGGCTTAATATCGTCCCTCCCTCCACAGTTGTCATCTTCAAGTGATTTGAGAATTATGTCAGTTTACAGTAAGCTTTCTCTAAAGCAATAGAAGATTCTTTAAATGGTGTAACTTACTGGCATGGGTTACCTTGGGGAAGTTATTCTAAACACCCATTTCTGCCCGGTGCTGTGGCTCACGCCTGTAATCCCAGCTCTTAGGGAGGCAGAGGTGGGAGGATAGCTTGAGCCCTGGAATTCGAGACCTGCCTGGGTGATATAGCAAGACCTCATTCTCAACAAAAAGGAAAAAAACAAAGACAAATAATAATAATAAGCTAAACACCCATTTTTTTGTCTGCAAAAGAAGGGAGATAATAGTCCACATACGGTTGTTGTGAGGTTAAAAATTATTATGTAAAATGCTTAACATAATGAGTGTTCAGTATCTCTTAGTAATTATTATTACTGTTACTTGGTCGCATAGAAAAAAAGGCTATTAAGATTTTGATACCACTTTTAAATTCTGCAGCTGTCCTAAGCTAGAGGTTTATGGTACCTTAAGCATTAGTATTTTTTTTCATGGCTTCCCTAGGCCAAAAATATCTAATGGTTTTATTTATTACGTATTTAAGTCCAAAGAACTTAGTATTTACATCCTGAAAACTTAGTAGCTTTTTTTTTAAAAAAAAAAAAACACATAGTAAAAAATATTTAAAAATATTTCATTTTAAGCAACCAAAATTTCTAATACGTACAACCTCCCAACTTTGGATGTGGCTGCTGTCATTCCTGTTCCACACTGATTTTTGCACAGTTCTTTTTCACAGTCACCACTTACAGCCTAACTTCTCAAAGATGTGATGGCATTGAAAGGAATGTAGTAAAATGATCTAATGTTGAAACTGAACTACTTGGACAGTTTTCTCCAAACTTAAAATATGCCATACTAACGTGATTTCACTGCACTACCTGAGGGCCTCTCTGCACATCCATAGTAACTGCAGTTCTAAGCCACAAATCTTGAAAGATTAATGGCTTATCATTGTAGTTTATTTAGCCAATAGGCTGAAAAAGATTCGTGACTGTATCTTTTAGAACAAAACATTTACAGGTTGAGTATCCCTTATCTAAAATGCTTGGGACCAGCAGTATATCAGATATTTTTGTACTTTGTAATATCTGCATTATATATTCCTTATTTGAGCATCCTAAATCTGAAAATTAAAAATCCAAAAAGCTCGACTGAGCATCTCCTTTGAGTATCATGTTGACGCTCAAAAAGTTTCAAATTCTGGAGCATTTTTCAGATTTTCAGATTAGATGTCCTCAACCTTTAATAACTTGAGAGAAAAGATCAAATTTGGGTTGGGCATGTTGGCTCATGCCTGTAATCCCAGCATTTTGGGAAGCCGAGGTGGGCAGATCACCTAAGGTCAGGAGTTCGAGACCAGCCTGGCCAACATGCTGAAACCAAACCCAGTCTCTACTAAAAATACAAAAATTAGCCAATCCCACCTACTGGGGAGGCTGATGCAGGAGAATTACTTGAACCTGGGAGGCGGAGGTTGCGGTGAGCCCAGATGGTGACACTGCACTCCAGCCTGGGTGACAGAGTGAAACT